AACATTCAAAAACATGTTTACTAATTGAAGTTGCTCAAACATTTTGCATCGATGCTTTTCATTGTATACTTCGATAATTTTCATTTGTCTCAATTCGTCTCCTAGGGTCTGTTCTTCACTTACAAGTTTTTCAAAATCACAGTACTAGTTAGTTTCTCTTAGACGGTATAGATATTTAATGACTGGTTCACCGGGTTCTTGATTTAGTGCATGAGTTTTGTCTGTTCTGATTCGACCAACCTGTTATTGGTCGCATGTTCACTATTTGACTTTATTAATTCAAATGATATGATCTGAGGTTGCCATAATTTGAGTAATGCTACTGTGATTTTTCATTGATATAAGTGACTACGTAATATAAGTGACTACGTAATATAAGTGACTTACATAAAGCTGCGCATATTGACGAAGCTCTCCTTGAGGATGATGTATATTGTTGGTACGATGACAGATTTGACCTTCAACACGAAAGCGATACAGGATACGTCTGGCGGCATCGGATATTTATCCTCCTATGAAAGCAAAAAGGAAGAACAGAATTGTAAGTTCTGATATTCTTTGAAATGTTAGTGATGGGGAGTGACTTTTGCCTTTTTAGATAAGCTTGTAACTTTTACGTTTAAACAGTATTATCTTACTTTTGTAACAATTGTTGTATTTATCATCCGATGGATGCACTGATGGAAAATGTTTTGCATTGCAAAATTGGCAAGCAATACTTATAGACTCGCGTAAGTCATTGCTTTAAAAAATGTGTCGTTTTTAATTCTGTTTATTTCAATGCTGAATTTCGTAATAAACCTAGCGTTTTCTAGGTAAGCTGTAACTGGCTACTGTCACAATTTTCTTTCTAACACTATCAGATTCTTAGTATAATAGAAAACAACATATTTTATACAAAAGTTTCTCACTGATGTAGATACTAAGAATGATAGAAATCTTAAGTAAATTTTCGAAAAATTGCATATAAATGCGATAACTTATTAGTAGGATGTCTTTTTCAAAAATATTTTTATCTCTATTACGAAAATAACTTACACTAATTATTATCATTCTTACTTCTATGATATTCATTATTATTAATGCTACAACCACCACTGCTACTACTATTATTAATAATAATAATAATAATAATAATAATAATAATAATAATAATAATAATAATAATAATAAATATGAGTACATTTTGTTGCTTTTTCCTCACGGTTATGATGGTAATATTTTATCAATACATATATTGTACTTCATTTGGAACAACAACGGCAGGAACAGCGATAATAATCATCGCAACCAAATGGTTCTTCTTCTTCTTCTTATTATTATTATTATTATTATTATTATAAATGTAGCTACAAAAAATGATATTGTGTTGCAATAATACCAGTTCGTTTTTATCTTGTTTTGTCGTATAAAATGAAGCTTGTTGAGGATAATTAAGAATTAACGCACGTCTGAGTGGATTCTGTTTCGGAGTTTTGATCTATTGATTTACTGCTTCATTTGTTAGACGAACCACTCTCAGCAGCATATCCAATAGTTATTAGTCATATTTGCGTCATTGTTGAAGTGACAGCAACGACCCTAGTGAGGAGAAACACTAGGCAGAGGTGGAAGGGTTATAAAGTGAAAGGCGGGAAATAGCATCTGCTTTAACTTAAAAAATATATTCACATATCTTGATGTCATCAATTTTTTCTTTTTTCCTTGATTTATTTTAAACTTTTCTTTCTTTCCTTCACTTTATTCATTCTTTTTTCCAGCTTTTGCTTTATTTATTCAATTGTTTGTTCGTTTGTTTCTTTTTTCTTTTTCTTTTTTTTCCTCTACCACTTTTCCCTTCTTACTTCCACCTTCCACTCATTTCTCTTTACATTTTACGGTAATAACAGGCTTGTCAGCTACTCATATCAGACACTCCTACAGCATTCCTCCCTAACATTCATCAACTCCTACCCGACCTCACTTTTAGACCAACTGTCTTTGATGTGAAAATCGGTTACAATGGCTATTTTCTATCCATTCATCACCTGTCATTTCAATCTGTGGTTTTTTCCCCAAAACACACCCATTACATTACACCATCCCCAAGCATTTATGCACCATCTCGCATTGCTATAAACACAAACGGTACCTCCCACAAACAAATACCCTTACTCCGTCTTTCTCCCGCTCTCTCACCTGCACATCTCAAATTAACAATCACATGAAACATACTTATGAATATTAAAAAAAAAAGCCTCTTGAGTGTTTTGATTAACTGAGGTTCGAAATTTGCCATTAATTTTCATCCGAAATAATTTCATTGGTAAAATTTAAAATAATGTTTCTCTTTCAAGGTTCTCCTTGTTTCACACAAAACCCTTTTGTGATTTTAAATGAATTAAAATGAAAGAATTAAATTCCATTCATTATTGTTATTTCGTTCTTTAATCTAGCATCCATTTTTATGACAACCATAAAAGTATTGTTCTGTAAATGCACTGTGCGATTTTAACTGGAGCAAATAGGTGTCTCTCTTTATTACAGCATCTAAACTCACTTGAAAAGAACCTGTTTTGGAGAATGACAGTAGTGAGAATGTACCCGGCTCCATAGAAAGAGAAGGAAACAAACGAAAAGATAAGGAAATATAGCGTAAGAAATTGTGTTAAAATTTAATAAGCACATGCCTCCTTTTAGATATTTGAATAAATATTTTCTTCCTTGTACATATGCATATAATGTCAATCATTCAAACATAGTTAAATCACTTGAATTCTAATTAAGTTGTATCCGTTTAATATAACGCTGAAGAAATATCGACATATATGCTACTGGTAATCAAAATAAGTGCTGAGAATTTACTAAATGTCACTGACCAAAAGTTTATCAGAACCAAACTTAGGTAACAAAATTCTATATAATTCCTACCTTTAATATACACATACCACAGGCTTCACTTAAGCCTCCAAATATAAATGTATTGTATATATAAATTTTGTACTAAAAGCCGTTAAAGCACTGAAAACTTTTTCTGCAAAACTTTTTCGCTAATTCATCAGTGTTTGTTGCGACCTCACTACTACTCATTGAAAAAAGAAAATATGAGATAAAAATGGTGTACAAGTTTAAGTGTTTCGCGTCATCAGGTATTCCCGTGATTGCTTCCAAGAAGTGGCATTGTCTTCATCTACGATTTCTGATAAACTACAAGAGAGACACAATCGTTATCTATTGATTATTGTCCAACGAAATAGAAACTGGAATTAAAATGGTAATAATTGGACTATTATTAGAGTCAAGCTATTGGACCCAACCTTAACAAAATAAAATACACATATAGCAAATGCAGAAAGAAATTCAAGAACAAGAAGTAAAGGAAAGCAAGAAGAAAGGACTAACCGCTACCACTAATTGTCAAAAGAAAGAATGTGTAGTCGTTAGCAAGTGGGACAGAACAAGATGTTAGAATCAAATAAGTACTGAAGTGTTTGTCTATATTTCTGAGATGAGGTATTATGTACAGTATTTACATTAGTCGGACTATTGTCCTCATCTTTGTCGCCATATTTGTCACAACGTTTCGGCCGTTGTACGCTCCGGCCTTCTTCAGGTGGTTGGAATTTCGAACTGAACCCTTTATTTCGATCGCTGGGGTAGACTGTTCTAATTCCACGTGCCATGTTTGATGGATGTCAGTTATCAGTTATCTCCTGCTAATTTTCCCTCTGAAAGTTCTCCACTGCCTTAACCAGGAATTGAACTCACCTTCTTTGGGTCTGTCACTGGATCTAACCAACGCCTTTATCCACTGTGCCATGTGTCAAACATGGCACGTGGAATTAGAACAGTCTACCCCAGCGATCGAAATAAAGGGTTCAGTTCGAAATTCCAACCACCTGAAGAAGGCCGGAGCGTACAACGGCCGAAACGTTGTGACAAATATGGCGACAAAGATGAGGACAATAGTCCGACTAATGTAAATAAAGTACTGAAGTATATAACAGAAATCCAAAATCACATTGGATTACCAAAAAATGTCTTCCAAAAAAATAAGAAAAGTATTATGAAACAGGAAAATTTCGTTATAAACAAAGAGAGTGCTAGGCTGTTATGTAATATCAATCCTTCTATATTGCAATGAATGCTGGACAATTTTCTTACTGATAAAGAGACTTGAGACAAATGAGATGTTTATTTACAGAAGTATGTTGACAATACCATGGACCCGATATTTGAGTAACGAGAAAGGTTTAACGAAAACGAGAACAAAAAGGACGCTTGTAGTTAAAATCCGAAAGATACAGTTGACATTTTGGGAGTAGAAGAGGGGTTTGAGAATTTGACACTCACAGGAAATACAGAGACAGAGGGAAACATTGAGTAACGTATCTAACAATATCTTGTAAATGGATGGCAGAACAGTGACTATGTGGAATAGTCATGGAAGAAACATTGCTTAGAGCTACAAAGATGTGGAGAGTCATGTTTTGACGGGACCAGAAATATTATTTCAAAAGTAAACCATGCATTATAGCAAGCCCGCACAAAAATGCAACCCACGCGACTACTCAGTGTGACATGCGAGAGGTTTTCAAAATAGCCAATTTTTTGTGCTCAACAGAATAAATTCGGCAATTGATCGCATACTGAAATTTCAGTTTTGTGAAAACATAACTTTATTCAACTAATATTTCATTGTCTTTCATTGATGAATCTCTTTAATTTTCCGCAGAATAAAAAAAAGAATTTTCTCGCCTCCCCTTTTTCTACGGATCTCAGTGGTTAGTGCTTAGAGAGGCAGACAATGGAGTAGGTTGGCCAAGTTCAAACTCCAACGGAGATCTTTTCAAAATTGTTTTTTTTTATATTATGTATTTAAATTTTTCAAACTTTTAAGCCACTTCGAAATCTGTCAGGTTTAAGAATTTTGTTTTTTAAGATTTATTGGAAATTTTTATTTAAAAAAGTTATGTAATCACGTCCACGTGCTTATGAATATACCCTCTTTTCGGTCAGAAATGTCTGTAATCCTCAATGTGTTGGCATTGCATCCCTCATCCAATTACAGATATTTAGAGACCCAAGCATTGCTGGTTATATTAGTTAATCTATCTATCTATCTATCTATCTATCTATCTATCTATATCTCATGCTGTCTGTCGTGGGCGTTGTTACCTCGCCCAGGCCGCATTTCTCACCCGATTTCGATGCGGTTTTCACCACAAATTTGCAAATGGTTGCCGTAAGAACATGATGGAGCCCGATTTTTGAGTTCGGACTCGGGTTCCAAAAAATCGATAATCGAAAAAATCGATAATCGAAAAAATCTGCTTACAGAAGGAATGATCGCATTTCAACCAAATTTGACACCCTCTTAGAGTCTACCATTAGAAGTGTTGTCCAGAAGTTTCATGACCACGGACCCCTAAACAGCGCGGAAAAATCGATAAAACTCAAAAACCGATACGCCCAGATTGCGCCTGAACCGTATGTCGGTTTTTAGCGAAAACCGACCGGATTTCTGAGGAGGCCATTGGGAGTCACCATGTGAAGTTTCAACTCTGAGAGCCCCCACCCACCTCAAACAGAGTGCAAATCGACAATCGGTCAACCCTTAAAAATATTTTTCCGGCTGGGTATTTCCTAAATGCAGATTAATTTAAGGTCACGCCATGCGCGGGAAGAAACAAGTCAGTGCGTGCAGTGAAGTGGAAGAAAACATTTGACCTCAAATTCTTGAATGGGTGCAGGGCCATTGAAATTCGGCTTTTTTATCCCTGCTACCAGGTCTGACTTTGAGCCACAAATGACATATTCGACTTAGTCAACACTTTTGATTTAATCGTCGCATCTTACCAAAATAAGCACTTCCTTTATTCGCGACTTTACTGAAAAAAAAACTGCATACGTGCTGAGTGAAAATGGTTCCTCCCTCAGCAGTCCATTTTCCAATTCTTTAAACATTTTCCCCTAGCCCAGGCCGCATCCCAGAACTGACGAGGAGTTTTTGCGCTAAAACAGCAAGGTTTCCTCCCATTCCATTTCAAGGCTAATGCCGGCAAACTGTTAGCGGCTTAACGAACAAACTCTTCATTGCAGCTCCTTGCATTTTCATCGCCGGCATCACGTGCATTAGAGCCAAGCTGCATATGCAGCCGGCAGCTTGACCTCGTTTACGGCCAAGCCTTGCGCTTGCCAAATCATGCGCACGTGCGTGAATGCATCTTCCATTTTGCGTGAACTCATTCATTGGTCTAAGTCATGACCATTGTCCAGGCTACACCAATCAATGACAAGTCACGCTTCCTTTAAATACCTTCAGCGCGGCTGCATCCGCACTCATGTCTTGATTTGATCGCCATTAACGCATCTGTCCTTGGATTAATTGACAGCTTCCTGCTACCGCAAGTTACCTATTTTCTTAAACGTTTGCATTACTCATTTTATCTCCGCGTGCTGCTTCTACTGCGCAGCCCATGTCCATCTTAGCGTTCCATACCTATTTCCACCTTTTCGTCGTTCAGTTTTGCTATTAGACAGTTAACTGCTGTCGCAAGTTACTTATTTACTCAATCGTTTGCCCAACCTATTTTACCTCCACGTTGCAGTTTTCACTGTAAGTTGAAGTGTACTGCCTTTACTACGTGGCCCAGTACACCTCAGTACTTCACTGCCTATTTTCTTAAACGTTTGCATTACCCATTTTATCTCCGCGTGCTGCCTTTACTGCGCAGCCCAGTCCATCTTAGCGTTCCATACCTATTTCTACCTTTTCGTAGTTCAGCGGTGATCAGCACAACAGACGTGACATTGTTATCGAATTGCGCGGCAGTGGGCTCCAAAGAATCAGTGAAACGCACTGCAATTACCCAATTCTCTTCCCTTACGGAGAAGATGGGTACCACTTTGGCATTCTGCAAAATGGGTCCACCTTAAAAACAGTGTCTTGCAGGGCTTTCTACGCCTACCTATTGATGGTACATGAGGGTGCATTCCATCATCTTCATCGAAGCCAGCAACTTTTCCATCAATTCATAGTAGACATGCTAAGAGAGACTCTGTTACATCAGATTGAATCAGACCAAGTTGCGCTGCGACTCTTACATTCACCTCCGTGATGCTTTACGAAATGGCGCTGATCCACGCAATATAGGCAAGATGTGCATACTATCTGCAACGTTCACAGGCAGTCCACGATACATGCATGCGAGGACGCAAGACGCGATGACATACGTTCGTAAGTACGGCCGACCAGACCTATTCATAACTTTCACGTGTACCCCAAATGGTACGCAATTGCTAAAGAACTCATGCCAGGGCAATCGGCTTACGACCGTCCAGACCTCATTGCGCGCGTTTACCATCTGAAGTTGGGAAGCTAATGGATGTGATTACAAAGGACCAGGTTTTAGGGGCTGTTTGCTGTCGCATGCACACTGTTGAGTGGCAGAAACGCGGCCTGCCTCACGCACATATACTAATTTGGCTGTGCGACAAGATTGAGGCCACAGAAATCAATCATCTTATTTCTGCTGAAATTCCTGATCCGTCGGCTGACCCTGAATTGTACGAAATAGTGACAACTAACATGATTCATGGTCCCTGCGGGTAGCATTACAATTACACCAGTTGTCACAACAGCGACGGTAAATGCACCCGGCAGTACCCACGAGATTTCGTGAGCGAAACCATTACAGGGTGCGATGGTTATCCACTGTACCGACGAAGGAGTCCCGCTGAGGGAGGATTTACAGCCGTGGCAAAGGGCCACCAAGTGGATAACAGATGGGTAGTGCCATACTGTCCCTTACTAACAAAAGCGTTCAATGCGCGCATCAATGTCGAATATTGCCATTCAGTTCGCTCCATCAAGTATGTATGCAAGTACATCAACAAAGGGACTGATGCTGCAGTGTTTGGTATTAGGCAGGAAGGTTCCGTAGACGAAATCCAGGACTTCCTTCCAGGGCGCGTCATTAGTAGCACAGAGGGTTCTTGGCTTCCCCATCCACGAACGCTTCCCAGCAATAGTTATTTTTCTGCGGATACAGCAATGGATGTGGCTGCGCGTACCAAAGACACAACGCTTACAGCGTTCTTCAAACTTTGTCGACAGGACGAGTTTGCTAAGACTCTACTGTACCCAGACGTGCCTTCATACTACGTGTAGACAAAAAAGAACACCTGGGCTCGGCGGAAGTGCGGGGCCAACGTCGAGGGCTATCCAGGCATCACAAAAAGACGCCACACTCGGAAGGGTATTCTCGGTTCCCCCATCGCGATAGGAATGTTTTTACTTGCGACTCATTTTGCACGAAGTTAGTGGTCCAACGAGCTACAATAACTTACGGACGGTTAATGGAGTTTTATGTGACACTTTTCGTGAGGCCTGCCTCCGTCTCGTCCTTTTGGAAGACGACAGCCAGTGGGATGCCCCAATGGCTGAGGGAGCTTTTAAAAATGCCCTCTGCTTTGCGCCACCTCTTCACCACAATCTTGCAAATGTGCGAACCCAGTGATCCCAAATCACTTTGGGACAAATACAAGGACTTTTTGTTCGAAGACATACTCAGAGAAACGCAACTGCTGTGTCCAACAATGGCTCTTACATTCAACGATGAAATTTACAACAGGGCGCTTATAATCATTGAGAACCTGTTTGTTGAAATGGGTGGGGGGGAATCTCTCGCCGCTATTGGGCTTCCAACGCCAGATCGTGTGGCTTCCTCCAGTCTCTCACCGGAGATTGTACGGGAGACATCCTACTCTGTTGAGGAGCTAAACGCCTATGTCACAACAAATGAGCCAAAACTTCTCATAGACCAAAGGGCCGCTTACGATGCGGTTCTTGCATCCACCAGGCAGGATACAGGATCAATTTTCTTCCTGGACGCGCCTGGGGGAACGAGAAAAACGTTCGTAACAAAACTGCTTCTTGCAGAAATTCGGCGCCATGGGGAAGTGGCGCTAGCAGTAGCGTCTTCAGTCATTGCTGCCATATTACTACCAGGTGGCCGAACAGTGCACTCAACGTTTAAACTTCCGCTTGACCTGATTAAGACAGAAACAGCTGTATGCAGTATAGCCAAGCAATCAGGTCTAGCGGAGGTACTCAGGCGATATAAGCTAATCGTCTGGGATGAGTACACTGTCAGTCCCAAAACTGCACTCGAGGCTGTAAACTGCTCTCTGAAGGATATTCGAAACTCCGATGACCTTATGGGAGATATAACTGACTTCTATCCGGTGACTTTCGCCAGACCCTCCCCGTTGTACCTAAGGGACAAGGGCCGACGCTATTCAAGCGTGCTTGAAATCGTCACAACTTTGGCCCACTGTTAGACCATTGCACCTTACCACCAACATGCGTGCACACCTAACTGGCGATGTTGGGTCCGCCGAATTTTCGAATTCATTATTAGCCCTTGGCGAAGGTATTATTCCAGCGGACACTAATGGATTTGTAAACGTCCAAGGTTTGTCTACAGTGTCCACAACGCCAGCAACACTCAGGGAATCAGTTTTTCCTGATCTTCAAACTAACTACAACAATATTGAATGACTTGCTAGGCGGGCAATTCTTGCCCCACCAAAACACCACTATGACAACCATTAATAGACAGCTTCTGGAAACTGTGCCAGGGGTGTTGCACGTTTACAAATCCACTGACAGAACTCCAGAAATGGCGAACTTTCCAATGGAGTTCTTAAACAGCCTCCACCCCGCTGGTCTCCCTCCTCACATTCTGGAACTTAAAGTGGGGATCCCGGTTATATTGCTTAGAAACCTGCGTCCACCGAAACTATGTAATGGCATCAGGATGGTTATTCAGGCCCTCCACCCAAACATTATTGAGGCCAAAATTATAACTGCGGTAAAAGGGAGCAAGTGCTTATCCCAAGGATGCATTTTTATCCATCAGATTCCGACGTACCCTTCACTTTCAGAAGATCTCAATTCCCAGTCGCACCCTGTTTTGCTATGACAATTAATAAGGCCCAAAGACAAACGCTGTCTGTCACTGGTGTACACTTAGAGGAGCAGTGCTTCTCACACGGCCAACTTTACGTAGCCTGCTCTCGAGTCGGCAGGCGCGAGGATGTGTTCCTTTATTCACCCCCGCAAAAAGCTAAAAATGTGGTCTACACTGAAGTCATCAGCCAGTGATACGCAAACTCCATTCCATTTTTCCTATTTTTTGTATGGTTTCCAAAGTACCGGGTTAACAAAACAAGGGCAACAACAACCCCGCCCAAGTAGTATGACCAGTCTCAATATTTCAGGAAACTGGGTTGGGTGTAAAAAAGTATTTGTTGTGAATATTCTTTTTTCATTCGGTTTTTCCAGTTACGAGTCCTTTTTTTAAAGCTGATCGTTTTGTGTTCATTTTGTTTAGTTCTTTTATCGTAACAGATTTAATGTTTAGTATAGAGCTTATAAAAAATTCGCAGTGTGAGATAGGCAAGAAGTAAGGCATTTAGCAACAGCAAAGGGCCCTCCTTTAAAGGCAAGGAAGGGCAAAAATATTTTAAATCAAGTGACAGCGATTGCTGTATGAGTCGTACGATTTTTGAATCAAGCCCGGGCAACGCCGGGCCATGCTGCTAGTTTACAATAAAAACGAATCTACGACCTTTTAAACAAAAATCCAATGTACGCAATTCGTTATTTATTATATTTTTTTTATTTTGAATAATTTCAGTTATTAAAGTAAAAATAGAGAAAAAACGTACCTTAATTACACATATTTTCAGTTGAAATAAAAACTACATTTTTCTTCAAAAGGTTGGAAAAAGAAGAGAAAACAACACAGAAGAGATGACATAATTAACAAATATTAGGTGAGAGTGAATATGCAGTTGACAGATACTATATATTTTTGTAACTTTTCCCATTTTTTGGTAATTTATTTAAAATCCATTGTGTTGCAGAAATTAAATTTTAAAATACTTACTTCTACTCATTTTTAGCTTTTTTTGTCATTTATTTCACAAATACTATGCTACCTCATTATTTTTTTTCAAATCTATCCAATTTTTATCAAACATTTTAGAAAGGGAGACGCTTTATAGCTTTTAACCCTTCTTTCCCCTCTAGTGTTAATCTAGTACCTAAGTACCATTTCAAGGGACAGCAATAAAATAACTTGCTTTCATTTTACCGGCCACTGCAACTGTAAGGAATAAGAATTTTTGTTGGGTATAATAGTTATCATCTTGTTTTGCTCGTACCAGGAGAAGGTTGTCAGGATGGGTGAGTTTTTGTGACTTTGTCGTCTTGTAGTTTAAGGATTTTTTAAATACAGAATTTCAATCGCCGCCTTTTTAATTTTATCCTCGGAGGTGGAGAGGTGTTAGTTTGGACCTAGGTTGACTTGATGGTTTGAGATATTGATAAAGTTATCAGATGAATTTGGGAGATATATTTTTCCTTTATAAAATTTGTTATGCTTTTTCAGAATTGTTACTTTGTATTTCTTTATAGATGTCGTCAGTAGTGGAAGATTTTAGGGTATCGTTTATTTCTTGGATTTCGGTGTGGAGAAAACGTATGTTATTATTCATTAGTGTAATTTCTCTTTTGATACGTGAATATGAAAATGCTTCCCTGTTAGTGTCCTTGTTCACTGCAGGTTTGTTCAATTTGAATAAAGGTATATTTAGGCAACAAGTGTTCATCTAAACAAATTTTCTTTCAAATAAAAACAAAATTCAAAAAGACATTTTAATTATTTAAAATACATTTTTCGTTTTTTTTTTTTTTTTTTTTAGAAATCCATGGCGGTTACCTAGTAATACCTAGTAAGTCTATTCCCATGGTATTTTTAAGCGTCTGTTATTAAAATGAGAACATTTTAGTGATAGAATCATTAGCCAATGTGTTGAAATAACTAACGTTGGCCTTAGAATATGCTCTAATAACCATTTCATGGCCTCAAAATTTGCCTGTAATTGGTCAAATTTCAAAGTTTTTTTCTTGTGAGTGCTCCAGCGCTCGAACCTCCAACTGTTATGAGCTCATTGAGCACTTCAAAGAATTTTCCTTCAATAATCCAAGAAAGCGAAGCATTTCAAACTATTTCTCTTCGTCTACTTTTGTATGTATACAATCGTATACCCTTCTCTAAGCAACGAACTCTCACAACTTTGTTTTAAATATTTTTTTTTAATATTATTTTGTGTTTCATGATTTAATCTGTTGTATGAACATTTTATCTTCATGACACTTCGCTAAAATTACGGATTAATTTTTTATTTTTTATTTTCATGAAACGTGTAGATTCCTAAATAAATTCCTTATCTTGTTTTGCTAAAATTATATGTCCCTTCCTCGTCATTACTATCCTCCATTATTCGTCTTGGTGTCGGTAACTCAACTGTTTTTTTACCCCTAAGCCCCACGCTACCATAACACCAAATACTACTCTGTTATTGCAGACTCTACGCCTGGTAATTGTGGTTCGATATTGTTATAATGTAAAAATTCGTGAGAAATTTCTACCAACAGAAAACGATTCATCCACGATCTTGTTCAGCAGAAGATAAGTCCTGAGTTAACGTAACCTTTCAGTTGAAAATATTCGTGGTTAGTCCTACGATAATGCATCTAATGAAGGGCTCAGAGAAAGAGCTGCAAACACTCTTTAAAAATGTTAACACAGCAGACTGTATATTATACGCAACCCAATCTTGTTGAAGAAAAGAGAGTGTCTACTTTAATCAAGGTCTCTTTCTGATTAGCAAATACCTTTCACTAGACACATGTCTAAGACTAGGACTCAGGAAGGTAAAACCAAAAATTAAAAAGTCATCTTCTGTGCAAGGGCAACGAGTATCACGTCCGGTTCACAAAACAAATCCCCACAAAAATCTAAAATACAAACGCCAATCAAAAAAAAGTCAAAAAGGAATTTGTGCCTGTTATACCACAGATATATATATATATATATATATATATATATATATATATATATATATATATATATATAAATAAAGAAAAAGATAAAAACGTCTCGCTGACAACAGTCAGTTTGGGTCTATGCTTCGACCTCGTCACAAGAACGCCGACTCATCCACACACATCACCCGTGTCGATTTCAACACTGAAGATAGATGGATCAACCACGCCAATGACACCCAACTTGTGTTACCACGCGTCTTCACTAATCC